TGTTAATTTATCGTTTATATCAAATAAAAATATATATAATCAATCATTTTTATAATATTAATAATTTTATTATTATAATATGCTATAAAGATATAACGAATGAAGTGATAATATTTACATGGATTTTTTGTTGAATCTTTTTGAGATTTATCTTTATCTATGTTATCGTCATTTAAATTTTGGTTTACTTCATTTGTTCTATAAGAATCGGAATGTGAAGCAATGATAACTTGTGGTTCGGAAACTGTGGATATTTTACAAGTATGTTTACCAATTAAAGGTACAGTTACATCACATTTAATTGAAGTGCCGTCCTAGCAATCAAAAATTTAAAGTATGCATAATATATAGAATATATGTATATTTTGTTTTTTGAAATTTTTTATTTTTTTAAAAGTATATGTATATAGCCTTACCGAATTAGTATGTAATTCTATATCACGATATTGTAGACCTTTAAGAATATAAGTTACTAATGCACCACGTTCTACTTCTTCTGTATTAATTTCTAGTTTATCAATTTGAGTTTCAGTTTTAAAGGCAAGAGTTGTTAATCTGAAGCCTAGTTGAATCAATAAGTGATATTTCAAGCATATTTTTTTTGTTAATTGTTACAAAAAAGAAATAGAATAATAAGAAAAGAACAACTGTGGTACTCCTCAACAGCGAAGGCATTTAACACTAACCTGATTCTTCTAAATACCTATAGATAAGATAATTAAGTTGTTGTGCTGTAAACTTTATTGACATTATTTTATTTTATATTTTATTTATGAGAGAGTGTAGATGTCGATAGATCTGACCAATATTTTTTTGAAAAAAAAAGTTGAATTTTAATTTTAAGAGTGGTTAAAATGACGTTATGCATCCATCATGTGGCAAAAATACAATTGCCCAACCCAAATAAAATTTATGCAGGACTTACTGCGCCTAGGCGCCAAAATCATTCATTACAGGTCACGAGACAAAAATGCTGATCAAATGTTATATTCGACACATCATAAATGATGCCTCTTGGTTATTGAGTCCAATAGCATTTTAGACAACTAGCAATTATCATATGCCGACTTTGACGAATCAAATCTGCTACTCTTTTACACTAGAAAATAAATGTTGGGTTAAAAAAAAGGAAGCGCGAGGATTTCCAGACAAGGTTAATGAATGTACTTGTATCGGAGGAAGGAATTATCTGACCAACCCGGCCGCGTTTACTTCATCGACAGCGCATTTTGGCTTACCAGAGATTCAAGGTAAAAAAATTGATCAAATTTACATTTTAAAATATTTTTTCTTTATTTTTATTGGACATAAATAAATCCAAAGTGAACAATACCATTTGTTTTTCTAGTGAATCAGGCCCTCTGTATTCTACACATTCAAAAGTCCTTTGTGCATATTTTCAGCTGTCATCTTTTGGTTTGGATTTACTGTTACTGTACAAAACACAACTTCTAGCAAGCTTTTGACTTTTGAACTTATTTTTTTAATTGATTTTTTTTAGCACTCACCTTGAAACTAAGAGTGCATACATATGAAACACCTGAGGTTATGTCATATGATCACTTAGTAAGGTTACAGTCAAACCTTGTCACAGCAGATGAACAGGGCACATAACAATAGGAAAATTTTATTTAAAAATCTGTTGTGGCAAGATTATAATTACTAATCTTTCCACAACAGATTTAATATGTTATTATATGTGAAACAAATTTTATGACAAAATTTGATTATAGTGTTTGACTGTACCTAAATTATTTTTGATTACCTAATTCAGGTTAAAATAAAAGATAAGCAGTTATGGCATACAGAAAATCATTCCAAAAGTTACAACATAGTTATAGCATAGCTGTGTCATAACTATGAGTTATAATATTTGACAATTTGATCTTTTGTAAAGCACATAGGAGTTCATTTGATTTGTTTGATTTGAATAATCATTCATTGTGATTCAAATGCTCAAAGTTAATTATGAATCATTCAAATAAATCTTATTTAAATAGAAATCCTACCTGTGGCCAGTCATCAAAGTCATATTAATGTAGAGAACATATGGAATACATATGTGATTTATGAGAAGCATACCAATACAGAAAATATAAATTCCATATGATACAGTTGGTGCTAATGAATAGAAATTTCCCTCTTGATATAATGACTTTTAATATGTCTGCTCATTATGAATCAACTGTTATATTATCTTTCAATA